GATTGTTATCACACTAAGTACTGTAAGTTACATAAATTCTGAAGGGATGCTTTCTCATAACATAATCTTCATCACCTTCCTGTAAGTAAAATTTCTCCTTGTTTATTGATAAATGCATTTAAAACATGTGTTTTGTTTGTATTTCTTTTTCCAAGGGTTGGGAAAAAACCTCAAGGAGATCACATGCACTATTACACAGATAAAATATTAAGTGTCACACAAACAGTATTCAACAATAAACTTACAGCAACTTAGCATGTAAGCAGTTTTGTCCAATTTACACCCACAAACCAAACCTCTCAATTACTGATTTGGAGTTAATGGCCCCATATTGATCTTGTGAAAGCATTGTTCAATGAATTTCATGAAAACTGATCAATTATTCACATGAGAATCACTCTGACATTTAATTAGTAAAAGATTCTATGTTAAGAATCCATTCTGTGATTTACACCAAATACATATTTAAAGACACTGACATGAATGGTTTGTAATTATACATTATTGAGCATAGAGAAAAAAAATCCATGTTATTCACCAAAAAAGAATATAAATTATTGAGATCATATAATCATTAAACTGAAACAACATTACATTATCAACAATGAGGTTGTTTGTATAAATCTAAGACTCTGATTGATAAGATTACAGCCTAAATGATTGTTTACCCACACAAGAGTTGATTATAATCACCTAGACTAGCACTGAATAATATTTGTTTTTTTTTTAATGCCTTCCATCAATTGTCTATAACTAACTCTCGAAATAACAAGCATATACACTGTACCTGTACATTAGTAAACTTACAAAATTAAGTTACGATGCACAAACCAAACATGAATAAATATTATGTACAACAATACACTTTATGCTTCATTTCTTATAGCCATCTTTAAGTTAGTATTCAATGCTTAGTAATCTAGTTTTAAGAAAAGCATTGAAAAAACTTCCATCTTGCTTTTGAACTAGATTGGAATTTATACATAAGGAAAGCTGCTCACATTTTAAAAGTAACTATAGATTAAGTTTAATCTTTTTAAAAGCAGAATATGTTATTTAGATATGAGTATATCTACAACAGAATTCATTTTAACCTAATCTTCTGAAGGCTTTGACTCATCAGCCTCCTCAGCAACTGATGGTTCAGCTTCCTCGGCAACTGATGGTTCAGCATCACCATCACCTTTATCTTCCTCCCCTGCTGGAGCTTCCTGTTTTTCATCTACTTCCCCTTTCTCCTCTGATGCTACCTCTTCATTACCTTGCGGTAAAGACTCCGAGCTTTTCAGCGCCTTTACCTGCTCCCTTGCCTTATGACCCCTGAAACTTGCCTGAATCTTAACTACAGCACCTTGCAGATCTGGATCATTCATATCAATATCTATCTGTTCTTCCTCACCTTCTACCTTTGCCTCATCTGCTGCACTAGCTTGCTCATCAGTAATTACCTCTCCCTCTTTCTCAACCTTATCTTCTTTATCAGCATCCTCAGTAACTTCATCAGCATCTTTGCCAATGGCTTCATCAACAGCTGCTTCTTCTGTTACAGCCTCTTCAACTTGAACAACTTCTGTCTTCTCCTTGTCAACTGCCTCTCCTCCTTCAGCACCATCAGGTTGTCCTTCCTGCTCCACAGGCTCCTGCACATCAGCTTCAGCATCTTCAGTTTTTGCAGCTGCCAAGTCATCAGGTTGTGTATCTGTGGCTTGCTCGTCAGTGGGTTGGTCCTCTGTAGCTTGCCCCTCAGTATCTTGCTCATCAATAGCATCTTCCTGCTTCACTGGTTTTTCAGCAGCTTCTGCCTCTCCTGCCTGGACAACCTCATTATCAGGTACCTCTACAGAGACAACTTCTTCTGGGGCGTCTTCAGCAGCATCTACACTCACTGACACTTGCACATCGCTTTTTGAAGCCTTTATCTCCTTTATCTGCTCACGTGCTTTGTGCCCACGGAAACTTGCCTGAATTTTGACAGCTGCAGTTTCCTCATCTTTGTGCTTCTTCACGTCCTCCCGAGCTTTGTGTCCTCGGAAGCTTGCTTGAATTTTAGTCGCAGCTTTCTGCACATCAGGGTCATTCATATCAATGTCAACTTCCTCTCCTCTCTGCAGCTTTTCCATTTGATCACCCTTCTTTGCATTGTCTTTGCCAGTCTCTGGAAGTTTGTAAATCACACAAAAGAATGAGACATAAATATATTTCCAGAATAGAAACTCTATTTTAAGGACATAATGAATTTTGTTTGGAGCGATTTGAAGGCGAAATAGTCCTCAAAGTTGTGTTCGAGTGATCTTCTTCAATTTTATCATTGTGATACCAAAATTGTAAAACTACACATGAAAAATCTTTAAATTTACATTCCTTTCACAAGCTAAATTATTAACGCTTCCTTCCATAAAATGGAAAGTATATTAAAATTTATGGCAGTGAGTTTGTATCAGAATATAGTTTCCCACAATTTCAATATTCAATATTATTCCACTTAGAAGTATATATTTAATTTTTTAAAGCTTTCAATAAAGATTTACTGCTTTGCAAATAGGTGGAAGGCAGGGAAAAGAAAAGGCCCTTAACATTAACGGGCGGAAGTTCTGCAAAATTTCCTTCAGAAGGAGGGAAATTAAAGACTAGGAAGAGCGATTAATAAACGAGTATTATCCTGTGTAATATTCCAAGTCAGGATGCAAATAGTTAGAACGGATCCGGCCGAAAAAAAAAACGGAGCACTGAATATTCAATTTAGCTTGCATTTTCAGCTAGCGTCTGGATTGTTTACACAGCCATCTAAATACTGCAGCCACCAAAAGCGAAAGCGTACCTTCACGGATTAGAAGCTGGTTTTTGAAATACTGTGCGGCAAAGTTGATGATGTCCTCTGGTTGCTCTCGCAAAACTTCCCTCGCCAAACCCTCCAATAAGTTTTGAAAGCCCGGTGGAACACGCAGCTTCATAGGAGCGTATTGCACCGCCATGTTAATTGTTCAAATCCTTCGTAGAAACAGATGGAAACAAGGAAAGATCGATCAAATACAGTGCAATCTAATTGCACTAATGCGCTACATTAGAATTATGGCTAAGTCTCTATGACGACAGCAAATAATTATAATGTATTCGTTAATTGCGGCAGAGGGTCTGGAGGCTAGTTTGTTATTTAGTTCCCAGGGCTCAGCAACTTTGACAAATTCAACTTTAGAATCGAAACGTGGGAATATATTTCTCTGTTTTGGTGTGCTTGTGCATTAAACAAACCTCTGCAGGAATTGCTGAAAGCATCAAAAAGGGGAAAAATTTATATCCCAGTTAGCAATAGTTCTACAGTTTCAGTGCTAAGTGCAAGAAAAAGATATTGATTTCGTTTTTTTGCCAGCAAAAGCAGTAAGAAACATGAGAGCAGAAGACAAACTGAACAAACAACTCTCTCTTTTACGAATAAGTATATTTATTTATTTAAGTATATTTACGAATAAGTATACATCTTTCTTTATACACCTTAAGAATATTCCAGCACTCACTCTCAAATAAAGTAAATATTGGAGGAAATCAATTGCACTGGATTCCTTCCTTCCTTTGATCCATAATTTATAATTTGCAGCTAACTGCATTGTTTACAATTTTTAAATCAATTGGACTGAAAATTTATTTCCAAGGACATTTATCAGTGAAATGTCACATGCGGTAAATTTGAGGATCAGAGACTTTCTCTCCTAGATAACTTCTTCATTGCAAAAATTTTTCAAAACAAGAGAAAGTTGACGTGAAATGGATTGTTTAATGTAATGCATAACTTGGATAACAATGTGTAAACTTATAGAACAACTAAAGCATAAATTCAATGCCACTTTCTTTAATAAAAAATCTTTGGCATCTTCTGCTCAAAGGGAAAGTCCTGTGAACTGAATAAGATATGTCACCTCCATTTTGAACACTATTTCTGTCAAATTCATAACGGTAATTTACCAATCTTTGCCAAGCCTGGCACAAATATTCACGATTTGTCGATTTTTCTGTGTTCACAAAGATTGATTGCTTAGTGGCGATCAGAACCACATGATACTGCTGCACATACTTTTGTAAAATGTTAACAAGTTTTCGCTGGTTTGATTCTTGATGACCCAAGCTCTCTCCACCAGCACTTCTGTCAAGCCAATAAAATGCACTCAAACTGTCAATCATAAAGACACCCACTTCAGGTTTGGCAGCTAATAGATTTTCATGTGATAAAACAGTCGCCAGTAATTCTATGCTACTGTTGCAACGAACAATAAACAATAGACTAAGACAAGACTTGATGAAAACTTCATAATCACTGTATTTCTCTGGATAAACAAGAGGACTGCCTTCCGTAGTTTCTTTGTGGTGATTCGTTTTATCGTTTCGTAATGACGTCTCAGATTTATCAGCCTCTCTGATCGCTTTTAAAATCCTGTGTTCCAGTATTGTTACCAGTCGTAACAACTGGAAATGGAAATCAGTGTCTACAAACACTACTCCAACGGATCTTCCGTTCAGTTTGAGATCCTTCCATGACTTTGGGAGAATACAGTTTGCAATTAAATGAAGAAGCATCTCTGTTTTGCCACTTCCTTCCATGCCACAAAATTCAACAACGTTTCCTGGTTGAATACCGTCAGGAATATCTGAAAAGAGATCTAAATCCAGTCCATCCAGAGCCTGTTTTCCACCCAACCGCGCAAACAGCTGAAAATTGCAATGCAGAATTATATAACTTTAATTTTCAAGTGTTAACTGAGCTTGCTCCATAATTATCTTAAATTGGATAATTTTTTTGAAAGAATAACACAGATTCTGTTAAATTTTATGACCATTTCACATAGAAATAAATATTCATTCACCATCAACTACCTGAGCTGCCGACTCAGAAGCCATTTTTACCGGGAAATAGTATCAAAGGCTGGGCTCTACCGGAAATGGGATTAGTAAGCGGAAATGATGTTATAAATAGCTAATGCCCAAAAGCCTACTGGGAATTTGTAGTGACATCAAACATGGCGACTAAATCAGTTCTTTGGACTGTGTCGATATTTCTTGGACTTTTATTCGCTGGTAAGGGATTTATTGAGACTTACAACCTAATCTAATTTTCTTCATCTACATAAATGTGCCTCATGTTTCTAAATAATCATTATTTGCCTCAAGATGGAAAGCATCTCATCGAAAGTTAGGCATAATTTAAATTTTTTTCCTTTCAGAGTGAGACAACCCCTCTTTTCCTGAACATGAGATAAATTTTGTAAGCACACAGTTTGCAAGTTTTTGAATTTTTTCAAGCACTTTTTCTATTTTGGCTTAAATACCGATGTGTGAATCGCGCCATCTCGACTTAATTTACATCGATCGAGACATTGACTCAACGCAAGTTCCTTGATATTAAAATAGATTCTCTTCCTTTCACACACATGCACACTGATGCTCACCCTTCTACTTTATCTTCTTTTCCAGCAAATGGAGATAAGGTCGCGCAGAAAATTTACCAACAATTATCAGGGGTGAATCCCTGTGTGCTTCTGACAAATGCTACACATCAAATTGGATGCACTTGTAAGTTATTGTCATGACTAAACGTACCTATTGGTTGGGTGAGAGGACAGGATAAAAAGATAGTTGGAATATGGACAGAATTTACCAGCGGGAAAAACATGAGGGTGGATGCTCCTTCTCCACTAGCATCTGTTCCCTTACCTTTTTAGTTATTGTTTCTCCCCAGTTGTTAAATCAATTTTTTTTTGACATATTAAAATTATAGCAAAGATTGAATTTTTATCAGATCAGGGCAGATAATTTAATGTTTTGTTGTATTATAGTAGCTATGGCTTTAGAAAGAATTAGCTGGTGAAATACTTCTAAAGAACACAATGAAGAAATGCATTTTTTTTTCAACAGCTAGCATGAGTGGTCATGTTGGAGTCCTTCACTATATTAAAAGTGAAGCTGATGTTGATTGGATAATAAAGAATGGAAGCCATGCACCATATGTTCCATTGTTCAGATCTGATCTGTTCACACTGTAAGTATGATTATGGCATAGTTATTAGAAACTCTATATTTTGGCACAATCTGTAGTTTAATTGAGACTTATTATATTACTGTATTATTGAAGCTTTAATTGACACAAAGGATATTCCGGTAGGAACAAGATCACCAGATGTGTATTTGACCCCCCTAAGAGTGACAAGCATCTACTTTCTCCTTAAGTATCACCTATAAATCACACATTAAGGTGATGAGAATGGGGTAAATGATCACCAATAAAAGAAGTTTTTGATTGTTAAAGAAATTCTCCCTGTCAGCATCTTAGGAAATGTATGGGGAACAGTTTGGAGAATATGCATAAAATTTTTAGGGTGTTAAAGGTTAATGGCTGCTATTGTTATCAGACAAATGCACTCAAACTAAGCTGACAGCCATCATACAAGAAACTTATACACAGGGTTGGTTGTGATTGATGGCTGCCAACCATGACCTGTGAACCTTGTTGTGTCTGTCCTGGTTTACTCAGCTATGGCAGTCAAACCCAGGTGTATAGGTTGGAGGCTGTTCTGTGCCTGGTACACTCCTGCCAGTCGGTCACAATCTAACCTCCCTATCTTTTTGTGAGTCTTGGATATCACTTAGGATTTGTTAACACCCAGTATTTTGTTATCATGAACTGTTTCTTTGCAGTGAAATTGTTGATCGTCTCATACAAAAGGAAAAAATAAACGGTGCTCTTGTCATAGCTGTTCCATCAGGAAAATACAGATATACTCCTAAAACAGGTATTTGTTTTGGGGGGCCACAGAGTGTTATCTTACATGTGGGATGTTAAATGGGAGAAGGGGGTACCTCTGGGGAACCTATGGGAGTTACCCATGGGAGGGGGTACCCATGAGGGGAAAGCCATGAGAGAGGGGGAACTCATGGGGGGTAATCCATGGGAGGAAAACCCATGAGAGGGATCCATGTAGGAGATATCCATGGGAGGGGGAACCCATAAAAGAGGTCCTAGATAACTTGGAAAGTCCTGGAATTTTATTTTGACATTTTCCAGGACTGGAACATCCTGGAAAAAGTTTTAATCTGCTTGACTCAGGCAATAAAGTTTTCAGAATTTACATTTGAAGAAATGTGTGTAGAATGTAAATAGAATTGATTTTGAAATCTTGGGAATGAAAGGGTCAAAGGTGTAATTTGGAGTCCTGGAAAAATCATTCTGGGTCTTCTAAAAGTCCTTGAAATTTGTTTCTGAAAAAGGGTACAAACCCTAACTAATTAATCAAAACAATAATTATTGAAGTTTTTACTTTATAATCATTTATTTTTTGTCATATTTTTTGTATTGCAGATTCCCCTGACTATGAATGTCCTAAAGATAATTTTGGTAAGTCGTTAGAACACCACTCCATATGTTGAGCATGTTAAATGGATATGAAAGTCAAATATGTGCGGTTGTCTCTTGCATACTTTAAGGTCATGTTTCATTGGGATCAACCATTCCAAATGCAGCTTGTCACTTTATTTTGTTATAAAGGGTGTCATCTGAAGCCTGCACTTGACTTGAATAAGCCTGAGTAATCCTTGTGAAACAAGAGCAGTAGCTATCGGTACTTTTACTACCATATCAAACTGGTGCACTGCTGGTTGAAAAAGTTGGGCTACCAAATCAAACTAACCCTTTTTTTTTTTTTTTTCAAAGAACAGCTGAAAACACTCTCAACCTAACCAATCTCAAAGAGTTGATCCAAATAGTATGAGACCTAGATCAATTATTTTCTGTTGTGACGTTATCTTTTAGGAATCTACAGTGGAGACAAAAAATATGAAAACTGTAAAGAAGTGAAATGGAACCCAAAAGTAAGTAGCCACTGATTCTTTAACTCCCAGAATGTCAGTATTAACTCTCCTCACTGTCTTTTATGTATTTCTTGGAAAATTCATCAACCCTTTAACTCCCATAAGTGACCAAGAGAGAATTTCTCCTTACAATATCAATACAATATCAACCAGATAAGTCATGAGAATAGAGAAAAATATCAATTTGGGGATAATTAGTTGATCCAATTCTAAATTCTCTGAACTAATATTATGAGAATTGTATGGTTGACAGTGAGGAGAATGACAAATTTGATCTGAGAGTCAAAGGGTTAATTATTCAGGAGAGTTATGACCAATCAATAGGTAATATTTGAGTCACATGTTTACTTCTGTAAACCCCAATAAAATCAACTGTATGAAAGCACAAGGAGGGTTTGAAAAGGTAGCAGGAAAAGGCTGGGGTTAATGAATCATGAATCAGCAGAATTATTAATAGGATTAATTTTCATTAAGATTTCCAACTCCCCTACTTAGTATGCTTAACTTGTATAAAGACAAACCCTAGAAATTTGTATAAAGTTTTTTAATCAATCACTGGTTTGACAAATGATGGTTGATCACAACAATTAACAATAGGGCAAATTGGGAGGATAACCTCTCCATTTTGCTCAGCCACTTCACAAGCAAACTTGCTCAACCAACAGTTTAGCACATTTGGCAACATATGCTCTGGTGGAATGGTCAGATCTTGAACATCTTCGCATTTGAGGTCAGCCACTCCAACAACTTCAAACATTGCGCATGTATTTTGCTGCTGCTGCTGCCATTCCTCAAAGACTTTTTTTACCCCATTTAGTGTTGTATTGTGTTGCTTTCAGAGTGGCTTCAGAAAGTAGACTGGTTTCTTCTTCTTTTCTCTTTGGACCATTTTTACTATTAGGTAAAGTCTTGAAAACACTTTGCTCTAACTTGTTGATTTGTTCTTTGCAGGGAACTGGAATGTCTTTCAAGTATTTTGATATTCCCATGTTTGCTTTGAATGACGAGGCAGAAGTGGATGATCTTCTCAAGGTATAAACTGGCATGCTGACCTTTACACTGCGCTTATTGACAAACTTTAAATTCCCTTAATTGCTCTCTTTAAATTTTTTGCAAAACAATTTTTGTGTGAGTTTGCTCAAGATTTGGGTGATACCTCTGTCTGGAGATCAGTAACAACATAACTATTGGTAGTTTTGCATCTTAACAAAATGATCCAATAGAAGATTCTAGAAAGTTTCATGTCATGACATTAGAAAGTTTGTGTAGACATGTCAGTATGATTAGACACTCTAGAATTTTCTAGAAGCTTATCTGTACAGTTGTCCTAACATGAAAACCACTTTTTACTGACAGTGTTATAAGACACACAATAGTCAAGAACACCCTGATTACCCACTGTGTGCTGTGCAGTTAAAGGATTTCATGTATGCAGCCAAAGACACTCCAACCTGTGTGAGGAAAAGCAATATACCAAATCCTATTGGGGGTAAGTGATTATGAATGGTTTCTTTTACTAGAATATCATGGTATTACAGTGTACCTGCAGTTTGATTGGTTCTTACTTATGATCTATTGGAGGACAGACGCGGAGATGACATCACCACCACCAACCTTTCACTTCTTTGTTTCACCCTTTACACCAGTAACATCAGTATGCATATTCTCCATACTGTTCTCTGTATATTTTCTAAGACAATGTCATGGAGAACTTGTTTAACAATCAAGGGCTTCTCTGGTGGGTGATCATTTACCTTATTCTCATTACTTAAATGTTTGAATCAACAGTGATACTGTAGGAAGAAATTAGAAGGCAATCACTCTTAGGGATTGGAGGGTTCATTATCAAAATAAAGAAAAAAGTTTCCTTGTTGCTGTGTTCCCCTTCAGTCATACATCACAGAAAACATTAAAATGTCGGAAGAACATCAGTAACACACTTGGCTGTGCCTCATGTGCCACTTTTTTGTTTTTATCACATTTTGACATCATCTGTTATCTATTAGTGCACTGCGGCACAGAAACATGGAATATCTTTGTTATACACTTCAGATAATTAGTAGGAGGAGAACTGGTGGTGTCATTTTGTTGTGTTCTTAGGCAACATGCTTTACTCTAACAAGGCTTATTGAAAATTTTGGTTAAAAATCATTACAATGATTTGTTGGAAATAACTGAAATATAAACTTTTGCATGCGAAAGAACAACAGTATTAATACCATTTTGTGCTTCTTGTAGCCAACTTTTGTATGCCTCTTGGAGACAAGAATGTTTGGGGTACTCTTTATCCAATAAAGAAGAAAAAAAAGGTGGTAATGCTGGCCACTAAGGTAAACAAGTTGTGGAATACTAACTTAATACAGTTGAACCTTGATTATCTGAACTCTGGGGGTCTGGGCAGAAACGTCCATGTAACAGAGAGTCTGGATTATCAAAAATATGAATATCAATGAACCCAATAATAAAGGGACTTTCTCAAATCATTAAGCATCATTTCCAAAATTTGCCATTTGAAGTATTTACTTAAAGGTTTTGGACCTAAATGCTGGGGTAAATCAGTCAAGCTACTAAAGTGTTTGCACATGGCTAATTCTATCATTCTTTGAAGCTGAACCAATGTTACAGCGTCAACATTGTTTTTTTAAATCTGTTTTGTTTGATGGGAAAAAGTTACAGATGTCAAATGTGACTGATTGATATTTGTGTAAAACGGGCCTAAGAGGCAAGTCTGGATAATCAAAAATTCCAGACAATCGAGGTCTGGATAATTGAGGTTTGACTGTGTACACATTCTTTGGTGTTTTTGCTGCCGTTAACAGTTTGAATTGTATCATCGTTACTTAGTTCCTTGTTTTTATTTGCAGTTGGATTCCAATTCATTCTTTCATGATCTGGTCCCTGGAGTAGATAACGATGGTTCCGGAATAGTGGTAGCTTTGGCTGTGGCCAAGGCGCTCGGAGCACTGAAAAGAAATGTGAGTCTTTTCCTTGTAAAGATCACTCAAAACTTCATATTCATTATTAGTTTGAATCTGCAATAATGTGTAAATTACAGTGAAATCTGCTATGAGTGCATCCTGTAAAGGGTGGTTCACAATTTAAAGGGGCAATGCTTG